CCCATAATGTTAAGTTGTCCCTAAGCAACTGCATGAAAAGGGTGCTGTCTTTGTATGAATCTTCATTCAGTGTATCAAGTTCTGCAATGGCCTCATCAAAAGCCGCTTTAGCCAGTGTACAGGCAAGCTCTGGATTATTAAGGATCTCATAGTAAAATACAGAGAAGTTGAGAGCCAGGCCCAGGCGGATAGGATGTGTGGGTTGCATCTCCTTTTTGCTTATATCAAACGCCTCTTGGTAAGCTCCTTGGGAATTATCTATCATTTGTTTTCCATCATCACCACATGCTACTTCAGCAAGGTACCGGAAATAATCTCCCTTCATTTTCAGATAGAATACCTTACTCTCTGGATTAGTTGCATTGGCTATTAAATACTTATCCAATAATTCCAAGACGGTGGTGCAGATGGACCTCAGCTCAGACTCCACTTTCTCCCGATAGTCCTTTATCAGCTGCAACTTCTTGTCGGAGGTGTCGGTTTTCTGCTCGATGCTCGAGATGACCCTCCAGGTGGACCGGCGGCCCCGACCACGTTCTTGTAGGCCACCGACAGCAGGTTGGGCTCCTCGTTGGACAGCTCGGCCCCCTGCTCCGTCACGGCCTTCATGCAGGTGGCCATGTCGTCGTAGCGCTCAGCCTGCTCGGCCAGCTTCGCTTTCTGGATCAACTCCGTCTTCTCCATGGTGGGCTGGCGGCTTGCAGAGCTGGGGGAGGTGGGGCTCTGCGGCGGCGGTGGTGCTCCGGGACGGGGACGGGGAAGAGGTGACGACCGGGAAAGGCGGCGAAGGCAGCAAGAACCAGGCCGGATCAGGAAGAGAGCCCTCCTCGAAAGCCTTCACCGTTTCCGCAGCCGCGACACGAGTCCCACCACTTTGATCTGCTTTTAGCTTTAGCGAAGGACCCTCCCGTCTCAGCCTACCCCGGAGCCCCATTGTCCAGCTCTTGAATGCACAGCAAGCGATTGGAAAGGCTATGGCCTGAATAAACAAACACACCTTAGTCCTCAAACTGACATCATTACTCCTCAATAATTTGGAGAGGTCCCTAAATGCAGATTTTGCCAGTGCAATGCATGTCCTTATTTCTTGATTGCTGGTACTAAAGGTGTTAATTGTGAATCCAAGCAAGATGAAGTTGTTGACAGTTTAAGTATCTTCTCCAACATGATATTGCCTATTGGTCCAGTGGTAAGAATCTTTGTCTTCTTGGCATTGCGATACAATCCATACCAAAGGCTGCATTTCTTGATCTTCTGCAAAAGTGCTTTAAGTCCTCCTCATTTTCAACAAGCAAGGTTGTATCATCTGCATAACACAAGTTATTGAAGAGTCTCTCTCCAATCCTGACTCTTCATAGAGTATGGCTTCTTGAATAATTTTTTCAGCAGATAGATTAAATAGGTACAGAGAGAGATTACAACCCTGACACACTCCCTTCCTAATTTTGTGTCTTCTTTTTTGAAGTATATATTTATTGTTATAAATATAGCACTGTTTTTGCTGTGTTCTAAAGATATGTTATGTTGTGTTTTCATAATTGTGTCAAGAAATTTCTTCTTTTTTACCATATATCCATTTTACCATATATCCATTTTACCATATATCCATATCCAAGCAAGTTTGGTTTTTGCTTAGTTTCCATATGGTTGATTATTCTCACTTGATTTTCCTGTTGTGGATTTCTAATTTTATGGTATTGTGAGCTCAGGAGATGTTTAATAAAGCTTGTGAAGCTTACTTTGTAACCTAACATATGGTCTACTAGTAAGAGTGTTCCATAAGTCCTGGAGAAGAAGCTAGTAGAAGAAGCTTGTTGGGTGGATGTTCTCTGTATCTCTATGAGATCAAGTTAATTAATTTTATTTGTTAGTTCTGCATCATTATTATGTTTCTTTCTAGTCATCCTGTCTTTCATAGAAAGTGGCATATTGAAGTCTCCTAATATTACTGTAGAACTGTCTCTTTTATCCTTCAAATTTGTTAATGTTTATGTATATTGAATGTATACTTATTAAATTTTGTCTTTTTGTTCAGTTATCCTTGTTTGTTTGCTTTTTAATTTTTTAAAATTTTGTATTGATTTATTTATAAAGTTCATTAAAGTTTGTATGCATTGTTTTTCACATTAGTCATTGTCCAGCTTTCTGATGCATAGCAAGTAATTGCAAAGAACATGGCCTGGACCAAGTGCTCCTTAGTCTACAGACTGACATTGTTGCTCCTTCCTACTCTGGAGAAATCCCTGACAGCAGACTTTCCCAATGCAATTAGTATTTCCTTGCTCTGTTCTGACGACTGCCTGCTGGTCCAAGTATAGGTTTTGAATAAACATAATCAAGTGTTCTGGTGTTCCCATTCTTCTCAGAGTTAGCCACAGTTTGTTGTGGCCCACACAGTCAAATGCCTTCACATACTCAATGAAATACAGATAGACATTCCTCTGGTGCTCCCTGCTTTCAGCCAAGATACATCTAACATTAGCTATAATATCCCTAGTGAAAAAAAGTTGAGGTCATATTGGAGTAGAGTGGGTCCTGACAAAATAACACTGCTATCCTGGGCAGAGGGGAAGCCTGGAGGCTGCGCACTGGGGGAAGTCACCTCAGATAATGGCGAAGAGGCATCTCACAGGAACACAGGGAAAGCCGGGCGGAGGAGGTGCCGGGGACACAGAGAACGTGCTCCTGGGCAGAGGGGAAGCCTGGAAGCTGCGCACCGGGGGAGTCACCTCAGATAATGGCGAAGAGGCATCTCACAGGTACACAGGGAAAGCCGGGCGGAGGAGGATCTTTTGTGAAAAACAATGTATTCAAACTTTATAAAAAAATCCATATAAAAGAATTTTTTTAAAGTATTAAAAAAAGAAAGTAAATGAAAAAGCGAAAACCACTCTGACTAGGAAACCATGCACTTTGATTATAGACATCTTGTTAAGAAGTAGTTCTAAATCTTATCAAAGGTTTTTTTTTAAATTATTTTTATTTTAACCAAACTTAACAGAAATGTTGGATTTTTCATTTATTCATTGTTGCACATTTCCCTTCCTATCCTCTAGTTCTTTTTTTAAAAAAAAATATTAATTGTTGCATAATTTCTGGCCTCCCCAATGCACATTGCAATGTATCTCTTATTCTGGACTTTTGTCATACAAATAATGAATAATCATCTATTCCGTTTAAACAGATTTCTTTCATCTGTCCCACTGCAGTGTTCATTATTTATCCCCTCTTTTTTTAGTTTCCTCCCCAACACACATGTCAGTCCTATTTTATCACAGAGGCATTATGCAGTATTTGTCCTTTTGTGAGTGAGATATTTCACTTAGCTTAATGTCCTCCAGGGTTACCCATGTTGTGTAATACTTCATGAGTTCTTTGTTTTTCAGTGCTTCATAGTATTCCATTGTGTGCATATACCTCAGGTTTTTTGTCCATTCATTTTTGATGAGCACTTGGGTTGCTGTCATATCTTTGCTATCATAAATAATGTAGCAATAAATATGGGTGTGTTTCTCTAGGGTATATTCCTAGTAGTGTAATAGCTGAGTCCAATGGTATTTCTATTTCCAATTTTTTGAGAAAGTGCCAAACTGACTTCCATGGAGGTTGCACCATTTTACACTCCTACCAGCAGTAAATAAGGGTTTTGATCTCTCTACAACCTCACCAGGACAGAACAAAGCAGGTGAATTGAACCGTCTAAGAATCAAATCCCTATATACATAAAAACGACCTTCTCCAACTGGGTAAAAAGGAAAGCCACAGAATGGGGAAAAAACTTGGTAATGGGATATCTGATAAGGGAGTCATATTTAAAATGTATAGACAACTCCAGCATCTCAACCAGAAAAAGGTAAACAACACAATGGCAAAATGGGCAGAGGATATTAGCAAACACTTCACCAACAAATGTTAAGATGGCAAACAAGCACATGAAGTGATGTTCAAAATTCCTAGGTATCAGAAAGATGTAGATAAAAACAACCATGAGATATCATTTCACCCCAGTGGCAATAGTAAAATTCAACTGAGCAGTAATCAAGAAATTCTGGTGAGTCACAGTCATTTTTGAGGGTGCATAACAACGATAACAACATGCTTAGTTGATGACCTGTTCTATCGTCATTTCCTGATCTGGATTTGAATGCTAATATTGAGTTTCTCCACTGTTTATTAGTACAAATGTTGTTTATATGGTTCCTCTCCAGTCTATCATGTGAAGACCATATGTATGTATAGTTGCTGTTCATATTTCTTTCTTTTTTCTTTTTTACAAATATTTTGTTTATTTTAATGAAGTTGGTACAGACAATGTCCATTTAAAACCCATATCCCAGGCCAAAAAGTACAAATAAAATCAAAAGAGAGCAGTGTTCTGATGTATATACTTCTGGGTGAATAATTAACTGCCAATGGAATTTAGAATTTTTCTGGGATCTTCTGACAAGAATTTTAATGTCTCTTCAGTGAAGCCATCTCTGGAGATATTACTCTCACTATATGTCATCATGACTCCAATCTGATATTCCTCTTCTTTTGGTCCAGACCCTCACATAAGTAGCTTCAAGTTAAGGAAAGGTCATTTTTCCACAGTTCAGTTCTCTGAAAAACTTCCATCTCCCACTGAAAATCATAGTCCAGGAGTGAAGCAGTCATGTATTAGAACTTCAGGGCCAAATGGAAAGTCATTATGAACACTTGCATTGGTTGATCTTATTTACCCCACAATCCTGAAAATGCACAGTCCTGAAAAGGTGACCTCTCTCTGCACACAAGTAATTTTTAAGAAGAGAGGGCAATATCAAGGGGGGCTGAGGTTTGCTCACCAAAAATCAGCACAATTAAAACAAACAATAATGAATAATGAACACTAGAATTCAAAATACCAGATGTTTTGAAGATAGGTGCCAGTTTTCAATTGTTTTGAACACCACATTACAAAAAAACTATTTTTAAAAATAAAAAAGGATTAAGGGAAAAGAAAAAAATTAAAAGGTTATCTAAACTGTTGAATGACCCCCTGTTTGTTCCTGATAAACTTCAATCACATCTTCTTCCTCCATTCCCAGTTCTTTTGGAGTGTGATTATCAGCAATTCTCTGACCTTCAAAAAGAAACCTGAGTGAATTCATTGGAACCCCCTGTCTCTGACAGTATAGTTCTTTGAGTTTCTTGAGATGTGTTGTCATTTTCATCTTGAAGTGAATCTCACTGCTATCCTGTCCAATGACTGAGTTTGATGTATTCTTCTTTCTTGTCCCCCAAGTCCTCAGTTGAAGGTTTTGCCTCCTGGTCAAACATGGTGATGGCGGCTTTACCCTGAGGGCCTCTGCAAAGCAGCAACCTCGGGCAGGCAGGATCTCGTTCCGGGGTTTACAAATCCACCTATCTTCCTCACACAGCACAACACAGCGACCTC